CTCCCCCCTGGCCCCCACCCCTGAGTGTCGGGGGGGGACCTAATTAGAATAAGGTGGGGGGACCTATTGTCCTTCCCCCTGGCCCCCACCCCTTAGCGATGGGTGGGGGCCCTAAATAGCAATTGGGGGGACCTAATGTCCTCCCCCTGGCCCCCCAATTCCCTGAGCGGCGGATGGGGGCCCTAAATAAAAATTTAACCCCCCCACCCAGGTGACTAGGGGTCCCCAAACCCCTAGTCACCCGCCCCCCCAAAAAATACTAAACCCCTACCTACCCCCCTCACCCTAAAAATAATGAGGGGGAGTCCTTTAACTAAGTACCTGTAAAAATAAAATAAAACCATTTGAAGTTTTCTTTCTTCTAAAATCATCTTTTTTCAGCCCCAAAAAAGGCCAAATCAAAATCCATAATAACCGACGCACTTTAAAAACAAAACAAAAAAAACAGAACACAAAAAAAAAAATCCATCTTTACCCATGAAGGGCTCCGCGCAGACTGAGCTCTGCAAGGTTGGGGAAGGCTTATAAAGCCTTGCCCTGCCCTGCAATTAGGCTCAAAGCACTCTGATTGGTGGGTTTAAGCCATCCAATCAGAGTCCTCTGACAGGTAAATGAAGAGACTGACAGGTAAGTCTCTACATTTACCTGTCACAGCACTCTGGTTGGCTTGAAATCCACCAGAGTGCTCTGTGTCATTTTACACAGCGTGGGTAAGTTCTTTGGAATTTTCCCTCGATGTGTAATTTGGCTCATAACACTCTGATTGGTGGATTAAGTAACCAATCAGAGTGTTATGAGTCAAATTAAACAGCAGTGTCCAGTGAAGCAGGAAGTCAATGGGCGGGGTAAAGGGTGGGCCACTGACTCAAATCACGTGACCAGAACTGCGAAAAGGGGTGAACATGCCCAAAAAGGGGCATGTTTGTCTAAAGAATTGAAAGGCCAGCCTGGCATCAGTGTCCCTATGTATCACAGTGTCAGTGTCCCCATTTCACCCAGTACCCTAGTCTCCCAGTGTCTGTGTCCCCATTTCTTCCAGTGTCCCCATGTCTCAGTTTGTCCCGTGTCACTAGGATACCAGAGGACACTGAGAGACCCGGGGACACTGAGAGACCTTGGGACACTGGGAGACATGGGGACACTAGAACACTTGGGGACACTGGGAGACATGGGGGCACTGAGACACTGGGAGACATGGGGCACTAGTGGATACAGACATGGGGACACTGGGAGACATGGCGACACAGACATTTGGGGACACTGGGAGAAATGGGGTCACAGACACTAGGGACACAGACACTGGGAGACATAAGGTCACAGACATTTGGGGAAACTAAGACACTAGGGACACAGAGACATGGGAACACAGACACTGGGAGACTAGGGGACACAGGGAGACATGGGTACACTGAGACACTAGGAACACTGGCTGGGAGGCTTGGGGACACTGGGAGATATGGGGGCACTTGTGGACATAGACATGGGGACACAGAGAGAAATGGGAACACAGACATTTGGGGACACTGGGAGACATGGGGACACTAGGGACACAGAGACATGGGGACACAGACACTGGTAGACATGGGGTCACATACACTAGGGACAAAGACATGGGGACAAAGACACTGGGAGACATGGGGACACAGACATTTGGGGAATCTAAGACACTAGGGATACAGAGACATGGGAACACAGACACTGGGAGACTAGGGGACACAGAGACATGGGTACACTGACACACTGGCTGGGAAGCATGGGGACACAGACACTTGGGGACACTGGGAGACATGGGGGCACTTGTGAGCATAGACATGGGGACTCTGGGAGACATGGGGACACAAGCATTTGGAGACATGGGGACACTAGGGACACAGAGACATGGGGACACTGAGACACTAGGGACACTGGCTGGGAGACAAAGGGACACTGGGAGACTGGCTGGGAGACATGGGGACAATGGGAGACATGGGGACACAGACACTGGGAGACTAGGGGACACTGGGAGCCAGGGGGATACTGAGACACTGACTGGGAGACATGGAGACACTGTGTCCCTAGTGTCTCCATGTCCCAATGTGTCTACCAATGCCCCATGTGTTACAGCATTCCCATGTCTCACAGTGTCCCCTAGTGTCTCAGTGTCCCCATGTCTCCCTGCTGCCTTTCCCCCCATTTTTCACATATCTGAGCTGTAGTCTGTCTCTGCAGGCTGGGAGCTGCTGTCTGGGCTCTCTGTGCTGTGTAGCTGCTCCCCCGCGGATCAGTGAGTAGAGAGAGGCAGGAAGATGCTGTAACTTCCTATCCCTGCCTCTCTCCATACACAGTGACCCCTACTGGCCGGTGCGGTTATTGCAGAGTAATCTCCGTTTATTCTGAGAAAAATATTTGCATTTGTAATGCCAGTATTACTGCAATACCATCACAGCCAGGCAGCCTCAAATACCGGCTGTGCCTTAAAATACCAGACAGGTGGCAAACCTAAGAGTAGTGTGTTTAAAAAAATAAAAAATCCCCCCACCCCATTCTTTTCCCCCCATCCCACCAGTTTTTACAACCCTTTACCCACCGGGATACTAGAGGAGAGATACAAGGGATTAGAAGTTTGAAAACCCGGAGAGAACCCAGGTTGGGAAGTATATTCCATACTCGATACAAATAGTTAGAAATATTTGATCAAAGATCATAATGGTACGCATTCAGGGGCTAAGTGCAAGACGGGTCTTGAACCCATCGATAGAGAGCAAGCCCAGGTCTAACACTATGGATAAAATGTTATTGGAATGTACTATACCATGTAACAACGGTTATGATGTATACTATATGATGGAAACATGTGATGTACTGCCATACCCCCCTCCCCCATCTCTCTTCTGTATCCCATATTCTAATTTTCTTGGAAAATAAAAATTGTCAAATTGGAAAAAAATAAAAAATAAAAAGTAAAAATATATATATATATATATTTTAAATGGGCCTGGGCCTTGAGCTGCAGCTCCATCAGCCCCTATGTTAATCCAGCCCTGTATTAAGGGCCCCCACCGACCGCTCAGGGGTGGGGGCCAGGGTGGAGGACATTAGGTCCCCCCTTATTCTAATTTAGGGCCCCCACCCACCACTCAGGGGTGGGGGCCAGGTGGGAGGACATTAGGACCCCCCTTATTCTAATTTAGGGCACCCACCGCTCAGGGTTCCCCCCAATTGGTATTTAGGGCCCCCTCAGGTCCCTCCCTTATTCTAATTTAGGGCCAGGTGGAGGACATTCGGTCCCCCATCATTTTAATTTAGGGCCCCCACTCGCCGCTCAGGTGTGGGGGCAGGGGGGGAGGACAATAGGTCCCCCCCATTATTTTACTTTAGGGCCCCCACCCACCGCTCGGGGGTGGGGGCCGGGGGGTAGGATAATAGGTGTCCCCCCTAATTCAAATTTAGGGCCCCCATCCACCGCTCATGGGTGGGGGCCGGGGGGAGGACAATAGGTGGGGGCTCAGGAGGGGGGAACCTTTTTTTTTTGTTACCAGTGCGCAACCATAGGCTGCTCACTGTTTAATAGACATGCCCCTTACTCGCGGTATAGCGAGTAGGGGCATAATTTACTAATACTAAGTAATCTTTAAATAGTATTAGAAAATTTGGCTGAAAGACCAATTCAGGTCTTTCAGCTTTTTAGTAGATAGCTCTCTAATACCGTGGAAATTAGGGAGTTATCTACTTATTCATTACTGTCATTACATTGACTGGCCAAGTAACTTACATTTTATATGAATGTGTGTTACTTGATTGTTGTAAGTGTTGCAAATGCTTACAGTTGAATCCTGGCTATGTTTGTATACTTTTTATTTAAAATTGTATACAGTGTAACATTTTTCTTCTTCCACTGGGTAAGTATATTAGTAATTAGGCAATACATTTTACTTCCTTTTCCAACCCCCTAGCCCTTTCCAAGACTTTTTTAGAGCCATTTTAGTGCCGAAAAGTTTGGGTCCCCATTTACTTTAATTACTAAAATGTCTCTAAAAAAAGTCATGGAAAGGGCTAGAGGGCTGCAAAAGGAAGTAAAATGGGGGTGAGAGTAGGACAAGTGCCCTGCAAACAAATGTGGATAGGGAAATAACTTAAAATAACATAAAATACATAAAAATTAAAAATAATAATCTTGAACTAGGAGGATGTGGATGTGGAGTAGGAGGTTGAGGAGGCGGTGACCGTGGCGGTGTAGGTGGAAGCGGCGGTGGAGGAGGAGGTAGCCAACACTGTATTTTTTTTAAAAAATTTTTTATTGGGGTAGCCCCCAAAATATTGAAACATATAAAAAAAGAAAACAAACAATAAGTGCACTTGAGTATAACAATGGCTGGGTGAGGCCGGTATAAATGTCTATTCTGCACAGGTCAAGTCTGGTGGGATCCATGGCTGGTTCATTTTAATAAACGTTAGCTTGTCCATGTTGGCTGTGGACAGGCGGCTACGCTTGTCTGTGATAACGCCCCCTGCCATGCTAAACACACGTTCAGACAATACACTGGCTGCAGGGCAGGCCAGCACCTCCAAGGCATAAAGGACAAGCTCAGGCCATGTGCCCAATTTGGAGACCCATCAGTCAGTACGTGTAGGTGTGTGCACACGTACTGTTCCACCATATTGCAGAAATGCTGCCTCCTGCTAAGACGTTCCATATCAGCTGGTGGTGCTGGTTGTTGTGGCATGCTGACAAAGCTTTTCCACATTTTGGCCAGGCTAACCCTGCCTTCTGATGTGTTGGCAGTGCACCAGCTGCGTTGGCGACCTCTTCCTCCTCCTCTGCCTTCACCTTGTGCTTCCACTGAGCCCCGGTGACAGTTGGGAATGCCCTCAGCAGCGCGTCTACCAGCGTGCGCTTGTAGTCGCGCTTCTTCCGATCATGCTCCAGTGAGGGAATTACGTTGTCCTTGTAACGGGGATCCAGCAGGGTGGCCACCCAGTAATCAGCACAAGTTAGAATGTGGGCAACTCGGCAGTCGATGCACAGACACTTTGGTGACTCTAGATAACCTTGGGCGGATCGCACATCCCAGTGACGGCGACAACGCATTCGGATGTCTGCCCTATCAACTTTCGATAGTACTTTCTGCGCCAACCATGGTGACCACGGGTAACAGGGAATCAGGGTTCGATTCCAGAGAGGGAGCCTGAGAAATGGCTACCACATCCAAGGAAGGCAGCAGGCGCGCAAATTACCCACTCCCAATGCGGGGAGATAGTGACGAAAAATAACAATACAGGACTCTTTTGAGGCCCTGTAATTGGAATGAGTACACTTTAAATCCTTTAACAAGGACCTATTGGAGGGCAAGTCTGGTGCAGACCTATGCGTGCTGCAGCTGAAACTCTACTATCGCCTGCTGCTGCTCGCACAGTCTCTCCAGCATGTACAAGGTGGAGTTCCGCCTTGTGGGCACATCACATATGAGGTGGTGAGCGGGAAGGCCGAAGTTACGCTGCAGCGCAGACAGGCGAGCAGCAGCAGGGTGAGAACGCCGAAAGCGTGCACAGACGGCCCCCACTTTCTGCAGCAGCTCTCATATCTGGGTAGTTTTTCAGGAATTTCTGCACCACCAAATTCAGCACATGCGCCAGGTAAGGGATGTGCGTCAAACCGGCTATGCCCAGAGCTGCTACGAGATTTCGCCCATTATCTCACACCACCAGGCCGGGCTTGAGGCTCAGTGGCAACAACCACTCATCGGTCTGTTGTTCCATGCCCGTCCACAACTCCTGCGCGGTGTGGGGTTTTTTCCCCAAACATATGAGTTTTAAAACAGCCTGCTGTCGTTTCCCCCTGGCTGTGCTGAAGTTGGTGGTGAAGGTGTAACGCTGACCGGATGAGGAGGTGGTAGAGGAGGAGGAAGCGGAGTAGGAGGAGGAGGCAAAGAGAAATGCCCTGCAATCCTCAGTGGCGAAAGGAAATGCGCCAAACTGCTTACTGGTCCATGTATCAGAAGTCACACAAAAGTGTGACAGGCGTAATTCATACAGTTACTTCACTGTCTCAAAAAATGTGAATTTGTCAAACAACAATGTAACAGTAGTATTTAACGGTTTTATTGGACTGCAAGAAATGCACCGCAGGCCGCAAATGTACTATTTAGCACCATAAAAATGTGAATTTTTCAAAGTGTGATGTAACCACAGTATTTGACGGCTCTATTTGACTGTTAGATATGAAGTGCACGCCCCAAATTTACTTTTTAGCACCAAAAAAATGAGAATTTGTCAAACTGCAATGTCACAGCAGTATTTAAAAATGCCTAGATGTTGCCCACTGAGCTACCAGAACAGGATTAAAGTAATGTGCCTGGCACACATGCAGTTGTACATAAAATGTAGTATAGCACCCAAAGAATAATCGCTGTAGTTTGCAGATTCAACACCAGAATTCTTTCCTAATCTGTCCCTCACAGCTGCAGCATCCTCTCCCTACACTAATAAGAGCTCATGTGACGTGCAGTGCTACGTGACTCCAGCTTATATAAAGGCTGGGTCACATGCTGCACTGGCCAATCACAGCCATACCATTAGTAGGCATGGCTGTGAGGGCACATAAGTCAAACGCTTGTTGATTGGCTGACCTGCAGCTTTTCAAAACGCACCATTAACCCCTTAAGGACAGAGCTTCAGAAGCTTGTCTTTCTCTTAATGACAACAGCATTTTTTTCATTTTTTGCTGTTTGCGTTCAACTGCAATTTGCATTTTACTAAATTATTGCACCGACACATATTATATATCGTTTTTTAAAGGACAGAAAGGGCTTTAATTTGATGTAAGACATATATATATGTATGCTTATTTATTATAAAAAAAATACAGAAAAATGCAAAAAAAAATATTTTTTTCAGTTTTTGCAATAATAATGTGTGCACAATTAGTGCAGGTTAAGGAAAGTAATTAAAAATAAATTCATTTAGTTGTTCTGATTTACAGAATATATAATGTGTCTGGGATTTTAAGTTTTTTTTTGGTAGTTACAGGTCACAAAGCACAAGGAGTAAAATAAACTTTTAATGTGGAGCGATTTTAGAATTTGGTATGTTTGTCTTGTAAGCTTCATAGCCATAAAAGAAAACAAAATTGCCACACAAAAGTATATATTTATATAGAGTAGACATCACAGGCTATTTACCTAGGGTTGTTTTGACACTTTCTATGTAGCCATTTCACCGCCAACCTCTGCTAAATATTGGAGTAAAATTGTGTTTTTTTGGGTTTTTGGCACACAAACTTATAACAAAGAAATTCTCACGTGTATTTTGTAAAGTTAGTGTGTGCTATTCCTGTACAAAGTTTTATTTTGTGTTCAGTTACATCTGCTGAGTAAAATGACACCCCCATTGTATGTCTTTGGCACTATTTCGTGAAGCTACAGTGCCATGTAGGAGACCTGTCCATTTTAGTATTCACAGTAGAATTTTGAGAGACGGATTTAATGAGCCTATGCTTCCATTTGGGGTATTATACCAGTTTAACTGTTCAAAAAAAACCACAAAGACCTACCATTTGTAAAAGTAGACACTCTAGGGTATCTCATAAGGTGCATATTGTGCCTTAACATGCCCCCATTTTTTCACCAATATATGCTAAAGTATGTGATAAAAATTAATTTTGTGCGTTTTCGTTTTTTACATATGGATTGCATTTTTGCTGGGCATTTTGTATATTTCACATGTTCGGCTAAGTCTTCTGAGTAAAAAAAGACACCTCCAATGAATGTCTTTGGCACTATTTCGTGAAGCTACAGTGCCATATAGGAGACCAAGCCATATCAGTTTTTACCGAACTTTGAATTTTGATGCTGGGCCTATGTGCAATTTCCAAGCATCTTAGCAGGGTTTAAATTCAAACTACCCTACAAAGGCCTACCATTTCTTAAAGTAGACACCCCAGGGTATTTCAAAAGGTATATTTTGAACCTTAGTGTGGGATCATTTTTCCGCTAGCTTGTACCAAGTGTAGTGGTAATAAGTTTTTCTGCCTTTTTGACACACAAAGTGAGTTTGCACAGTATATTTTGCAAACCTTATGTGTGCTACAAGTGTATAATACTTCATATGTTGCTCAGCTATGTCGGCTGAGTACAGCAATACCCCCGTATGTATGTTTGCCAGGTATATGTGGACATCGGAGGGGCACATTTGGGACACAGCCATTCCAGTTTTTTTCAAAATTTACATTTTTACGCTGTGCCCATGTCCCAT